TATCAGATTGATTGATGTTTAATGGTTATTGCTATATTTCTGTAGCCCGTATATAACTAATCGGGATACAAATACGGGTAACCGAAGGGACTAATTGAAACTTAAATCTGTTAAAGGAGCTGTGTAAAACCGGATATACCGAAAAAAATTCTAACGAAATTGTTAAATTATTTATCGTGAGCGTATTATAATCTATTTTTGGGTATGTATAATTACCCAATCAATTAAATTTATTCAATAAATAAATACACTAACAAAAAAGTTAATTGTTCATGAACCAGTAACATGGAATTAATAGAATCCACTAGACCACAGGTGGAAAAGCTACGGCCTCCAAACGTTTTTGCGCGGTCTTCATTAATCTATCACTAGAAATAATCAATATTTTTTATTTTTCAAACTTATTCATAGAGTTTTACATCAATCTGTCACATTTAATTATTTAGGTTACGAATTCGAAAATCAACAGAATTAAGTTGAATATATGTATATGAGTGTGTATTTACTTATTAATAAAAGTAGCAACAGTGAAGATATAAACTATTATTGCTACCTCCATGATCAATGCCTAATCTTATTACAGCCTCTAAGTATAAAAAGGTTTCTCATATATGCACCATACTTATAATTAAAGACCTTAACCGATGATATATCTAGCATTATCTACTACAATTAATTGGAAAATCTTAATTGTATATTGACTATAAAATATTATATATTATAGGATTATATATACAATCCTGATACTTGTACACATATCTAATTAACTGATCTACGAAAAAATTCTGGACCTATTTAGCATTGAGCGTATATGAAATCAGATTAAATTTATTTTATTGTAAAATGAGGTAATTAGGTTTTAAACGGTATTAAAAAAGATATTTTAAACTGTATTATATAGTCAAATACATGTGACACTTAATGCTGTTACATTTTCTTTTCTTTTTTTTTTTTGGTCATCCTGTTCCTCTTCCTTTAGGCTATACGGGGTATTAATGTTCGAATTCACTGTTCCCTCTTCCGGCATTGAGAGGTGAACTCTTAATTATTTTATCATATAATATTCGGTTTTCAGGTTGCCAGTGTTTTGCGAGTGTTTTGAACTCCCGTTACTCCACTTCGCCAACCCGCGTCCCTTATAATGCTGTTTTAGTTCGCGATTTCTATTTTAATCACGCAAAGGAAAATATTCAATCCGCAAATGTTAAACTCTTCCGCATTTTTGTAATTACAAACAGCTTATTATCAAAACTTGTGAATATAGCATCCTCGAATGCTGAGGGATTACTGTATTTAATATTTTATTCTGAAACAAAAAATTATAGATTTTGAAACAATTTATCACATCTTACCCTCAATTATCTCCACATTCATTATATATGAAAATAAAATAAAATGAGAACTTTATGTATTATTAATGATTGTCATAACATATAACGTGACAGTTAAATTTTAATATTTACTCAGGAGGTTCTTTGAACATTAAAGGTGACATTTTTCAAGCACATGTTTGTTCGTGACGAACATGTTTTGAAATCTAACTCAGTTGGTCTATTTTGTTGCAGCATCTATTGCCTCTAGTCCCAAAACAAAAGACTGACGCTACCGAAAAGACTGCCTCCCGGCAAGTTCCTAACTTCGGATGATACTTTCAGAAAACTTTCAGGGAGGATAGGGCAACTTATACTCCCCATCTCTTTTCGTTTTCTAGAGCCGTCAGAGTAGAGAAAATGTAATATATGCTTAATATTTAATACAAGGTCTGAATTTTTATATACATGAATGATTACCTTACATTTGAATATTAAGTATCTAATAAAAATGAGAACAGCAAAGTATTAAAACATCGTCAAAATGTAGTTGTATATTTTGTTAAGTGCTGACGTCAATGTAAATAACTGCCGTATCATTAGATTTAATAGAAAAAACGCTGCAGATTATTTCACAATGTTTTATTATTTTCAAACAATTATACATCTAAAGTAACATTACCTTCCTAGTAACAAAGAAAAAGAAATAAAAGGAGATTACTATAATTGACCTAATACAAATTTATTGTTTATCATTACTAATTTGCTAGAAAAAAAAAAGCATTACTTCAGTAACAATTTCAAAAATCAAATTACAAAGCAAAGAATCTAACTTTTCCAGCAGAAAATACAAAAAATATCTAGAGACCCATACCTTTGCTCTAAATTGTATGATTTTAACGATTTTTTAAAGGAAATTTCGTTTAAACTGTTTAGTAACCATGTACAACATCGACGAAAAATTGTATAATTTTTGAGTTAATTGGAATCTAATTTTACCACTCCACGTTAATTTTTATTTCCAGATTCTTTTCGTTGAAGTATATTATATAGATAAATTTAACTTGGTTATTTGGACTCACGGAACCCCAAAACTTGTATTTCCGTTGAAAACTCAAATTCAAAAATTTCTCGATCGCAATGCTTACCCTTACTATATATTACATATATACGTAAGTGAAAGGTGGGTAGGGTGGCCGAATGGGCTAGCGCGGTGTGCACAGTTGCCACCGTTGCCTGGCAACCTGATATATGACAAATATGTTATAAAAATAGTCATGAGTTCGCGTCCCGGTGCCAAGGCGTATTTTAAAAACCCCGCCCAAACTCCCTGGCCCGGAAAAAACCCGTATAGCTTTAAAAGCGAGGAAGGGCAGGATCCAAAAATAAAATACTTAAGTGAAAGTTAAAATATTTTTAAATAGCGGTATCTCTACTAATAGTCCTTTGATTTCAATGAACCTTCTTTCATTTTTTTGTAAATTTCAATACCTTTGAAGCATCTTATCACAATATCCACACAAAAAATATATAGATATAGCTTATATAGATTATGTAGAATATATAACCTATATATCATATAGGTGATATAGATAAATTTAAAGAGCATCGAAACAAATTTTCATTCAAATCGGTATATTCGTTTAGGCTATTACTACAGCAACAGTCTATAGCAACACAGGTTTTTCAGCCGCCATCTTGAAAGGAAAAGACGGATAGTAACGTTGATGTAGGAGAGTCATCCTCGGGTGATCTCTGACTTTAAATCCAAATTTGTAAAATTCAATTATTACCACAAGGAACAATCATGTTGTATATTCGCATAGAAATTTTATTTCTTTTATTTTATTTACACTGTTGTAAATTTCAATAAATTAATTATAAAAAACTATATATATAGATATATATAAGCATGGTTACATTTTTGTTCATTGGAAGTTGAAGCGACGCTGATTCTAATTAGGCCTGGATGGGGAGACTTTTATTTCTCCACAGATCCATCGACTAAATTATAGTTTTTCTATTTAAAAATTAAATTGGCTATTTATTGCAAATATTTGCCCTAAATAATAAGTTAAGTTTATCTAGCTCATAAAAAATGTAAATAATATGATTCTTTAAAAAAATTATCATTAAGGTTGAGATCAAATTTTTTCAAGAGTAGTTTTTCAACAGGTTTCGTGGGACTCCGTACGATCTGGTGGACGATAAGCTTAAAACTGGGTTGATTTGTAATTCGTTAAAAATTATGATTAAACTGAGCATCATATAACCCTTTCTATTAGAATATGGAATACATACGTCATTCAGAAATTTTCGTTTTTGAGCTAGACTGTAATTTAAACTGACACACATGCATATAAACACCATCTTGCATACAAGATACCTGCTTATTCTATTCACAATTCATCTCTTCGTAACCCAAGCCCTGTATTTCTGTTGAAAACTCAGATTAGAAAATTTTCACAGTCGTAATACTTTTCCTTACGATATATCGACATCCACACTGCAAAAACCTTCAAGGAAAAAACTAAAAATTTTTAGGAGCCGAATAAAATTACGTAATTTTTGTTCTATGAGCATTATATTTTCGACTTAATTTTTTTTCAGGCCTAAGACAAAGGTGTTCTGATTTTTTTAAATTTTATTTCTGCCATATAATCTTTTAGATCCATTATTTCTAACTTATAGCTTTTTAATAATTTTGAACAATAGGTATTAGTCAGGTAAAAGCAATCAAATTTACTTTAGTAGCACCCGTAACTTTGTTAATAATGATCAAATCATGACAGGAACAAAGTCTGTTTCAAAAATGTTGAAAAACATCAAATGAAAATTCGTAAAACATTATGTGGAAAGCCAGTATTTGATCAGAGGGGTTATTCACTTTTTGTCTCCCACTTTGGGCGGCTGGTACATGCGCCCCATTTTAGAGTTTTATTTAGTATATGAAAGTTTCGTTTTTAACCTACTCAACTTCATACGGACATGGCTTGATTTACGAATGCTTGGTAAGTTCTAAGTAGCCTGATGATGTATATAACACTTCGTTTCTGTGCTTCTGTAATTTTCGAAGATTCATTGGTTTGAAAAGATGAAACTAGAGTTCTTTTTTCGCCCCGTGTTAAATTTTCCAACTAATGAAATCAATTCTATGCAATTCTATGTCTCTCACTATCCGGAATTCGGCAGCATTGTACATTTTTCCAGCCATGCTCATTTCGCAGTTGCCAGGAGGTTTGGATTGTTTTGAAGGTATATTGAAGGTATATTCCCACTTACTACTCTCTTCTTTGCTTCGTCTAGTTTCATGGTAAGCAGTGACCACTTGCTGACAGAGGCGCGGGGTTGGAAGTGTCCGCCACTTAGTAGAAATTAAAAAAAAAAATACAAAGCGTATGAGGAAAATTTGCTTTAATCTATTAATAAAGCTAATTGATACTGTAGTTAATGAGTGAAACGCTTTATACATTCTATATTTACATGAACATCTTTTATTGAGCATTTTATTATATTTTCTCTGTAAAGACAAAATCTCTATAACCTTCACTGTAATTAACATTTTTTATATCAAGATTTTTTCAAGTTACAGGTTTTTACAAAAGTCCATAGGGAAGAATTGAAACATCATAGATTTAGAAGACTGATCAGAAAATCTCAACACTTAATTAAAAAAAAAAATTCCCTTACAGGCTTTTGCAGTGTGGCAGTAGATATAACACATATCGTTAAGTGGAAGTAAAAAAAGAACTACATGTTTGAGAAATGTCTGTTCATATCAATAACTTTGTATGACATTTAATAAACTATCTTTTTTTATTGCGCATGGTATTAATTACTTTAGACCATAACAGACAATTCAAAGCAACAAAGCAACCCTCTCTGCTATTATATTATACAAAAATTAACCTTAAAAAACACATGTTTATGATTTATTTGACGAAAGTCTACTAAGTTATATTGAATACGAATTATTTTCATTCCTAAAAATAAAAAAGTTTTTTTTTTTCGTAAACGTGTGTATTTTGATTTTTAAAAAAGCATATCAGAATTCATAATCACTATCTACAACATTATTTGCAGAACTTAAACCACACCATTCATGTTTAGGACAAAAAGGTTTATCCTTTGTACACTTTATACTGTTTCTTAACTATGCATGGATATGCATTAACTTTGCCAATTCATCACAATCTTTGTACGATTGAGCCTTTTCTAAAATCCTCCGTAACATTGTAGCTCTATTAAACACATTCCATGTTAGTATACCAACAATAGTTTCTTTGTGATCAATATAAAAAATAATTCCTTTATTAAACTCATCTAATCCCAGCCTGGGATTATCTTCATTGCAATCTGTGTTGGTTTCTGGATTCTCCTTTATCTTTTCTGATTTATCTCCATTGTAGTAAATCCCAACAGTAGGTAAGGATGAATCGATAGTACCCACTGCTTCATAACCTATATCATCCATAAGATCTGACCAGATCAAGGACTGATGTGCATATGTTTTTCCTTTTGACAAGATGTTTTCAGCTGCAGTTTTGCCTGATTCCATTGCATGATCATAATGCTCAAAATGTCTTCTTCCATACACGCTATCGTAGTACGAGATGCAGTCTCCGGCAGCGTACAAGTCCCGGCGGATTTGTAGTTCTGTATTTACCATGAAACCACCTCTTACATTGTCAAGTTCAAATCCTGAAGGCTCTGCTAGGTCAGTATTGGGAACATTTCCTATTGAAACTAAAACATGATCCGCAAATACAAGGTAATTTTTTTTAGATTGTTTGTTGTTGACGTAGAGAGCAATGTTTCCATCATGTTCTCCTCCTTTCCATATAAGAGCATCAAGTATATCAGTTTGTGGTAATACAGTGACTCCAGTGTTCACAACTCGTTTTGTCAACCAGTCTGCAAGATAGCCTGGTAATAGTCTGCTCATGTTGCTGTTCTCTTCAAAGATTTGAATAATCCTGATACCTTTTTTTTGTAAGGAACAAGCTAATTCAGTCCCGTTTAAACCTCCTCCCACTATTGCTATAGTCATATCTCCGTTGTACGAATCAATGATTTCATCCAACAATTGATAATCATAAACCGTGGTAAATGTAGATACTCTTTTCTTTACTTCTTCACTATTTTCTGAGAATACTCTCAAATTTCTTGGTGATGAGCCAGTTGCTAAAATACATTTATCGTACTTAACTTTCTTTCCTTCTATATCTGCGAGTTTGTTAATACTGTCTATCTTATTTACCTCCCACCCTCGGGCAATACTAACAAAGGGGCCTGGATCACTCTTGTGCTTATCAAATTCTATTATTGGTGTGTAAAACTCTTCTTTTTCGAAATATACACTTTTTCTATCTTTGCTATTTGGACTATCACGAGGTTTGTACATTAGTTCTTTGGAACTGGCTGGATCGGCTAACAATAGTTCTGTATTGAGAGGAGTTTTGTCATACGGATAGTGGAGCTCTTTGCTTAGAATTAAAATTTTGGCATCTGGATCTAGTTCTATTAGTTTCTTCATAGCTGCATAACCTGCCGTCCCTCCACCAATGATTAAATAAGGAACCGAACTGGGTATTTCCACGCTGTATTGTGGATCCTTATGAGGTATCCGAGGTTTCTGTGTCCTGCGTTTTTTACCCACTTTAACTAACACCTGCGGAGTATCCTCTTGATCTGCATATATCTTGTATAGAATATAAGCGGCAAGGAGGGTAGTGAGAGCAAACAGGACCTTCATCATCCTAATATCAAGTTCCATAATCTTCTTATCTTTCGGCATTTTGTATTTTGGTTTCTTACACGGTTCCCTGCAGGGATCAACGGGCATTGCACATGGAGAGCATATCTTAAGAGGGTGCGGGGGGCAAGGATTGACATATGGGCGTATACAGGGGTCACTCTCGTCGGGCTTGGGAGGGCAAGCCTGCGGGATAGGGTGAACTGGATGGCGTCTGCCAGGGTCTACAGAGGTCTCGCTCACGTTGCAGTCTGGTAATGAGGTATCTGGTTGTTTGCATTTTGTTTCAAGGCAATCTATGGTTTTCTTACGGACTATCGATTGTATTTTTTGTTCCAGGTTGTCCAACTTGTCAATTATGTCATCTTTTTTTACGCAATAAGTTCTTTCTGTTCTGTGTTTGTCAATATCATTTTGACGGTGATATACCAATACGCATCTTCTGTTTGTTTTCAGGGAATTTTGATAAGTGATTAATCTTACTAAGCTTTGCATTTTTTGTGGTTTAAAATTTTGAGGTTATGCATCATGCTTTAGACTAGAGTAACACCTGGTTTTTCATAGCTTAGAAAAAACATTAAACGATTTAGATTGTTACATGTTATATATGAGAGATACACATACGAATATCAATTTATAACTGGTTAACATGTCTTAAAATATTTAAATACATAATATTTCATTTAATAATTATGTTATTACTTTAATACTTATGGATTGAATAACAGTATTGGATTTTTATCAAATATTGAATCAGTGAATTACATATATTGTATACAATAATTTCATTCGTAAAAAAAATTATTGCAGGCCTCTTAGCCTACTGAAACCAAGGAATCTTTTATAATTAACTCTAAAACATATGTTGCTTGTTTTAGAGGTACCAGACCGTTTCGATAATTATTGATTTTTATTAATATAAATGAACTTTTACAAAAAAAAAAAAAAAAAAAAACAGCAACAAAAAAAAACAACTAAAAAATATGAATTTGTATTGATTTTAGCTGTTTATCAATTAAACATTTGATCTGTAACGCTTATTAAGAAAAAAGTCTGATAAATCTGAAAAAAGGATTTTTTTTCTAGTAATTATTATGCATATACTGTGCTAGAACAAATATATTGAATAGATTGTGATTCTAGAACATTATATATATATATATATATATATATATATATATATATATATATATATATATATACACACATATACATATATGTGTGTGTGTAAATCTGTTTTCATCTTATATCAACTAATATTTTCCAACTTGAAAATTCACGTTGTTTTTTTTCAATTTCCCACAAAGATATTTACCACCGATATTTTGACATCGCCTTGCTTCATTGCACAGGTTACACTACTTCGTGCCGTCCAAACCAACTTTAACGTAATCTTCACACATTCGATTCGGTCTACTCTGGGAGACTTACCACTAGAAGCGCAGAAAAGAACAGATTAAATAAATATTTAAAGGTAGATAAATATACATACCAGATGAATTATGAATTGAAACTTTGGTTTGGTTCTTCATTACCAACTCACACACAAAAACATTATTATTTAATGATAATATGATGCGGTAATCCGCCTTTTCAAAATATTTGATAGCCTAAACGACATGCGAAAATAAATGAAAAGAAAATTATAATGGTACATATTAGTTAATTTTTTATTATATTTAAGTTACGAGCAGTTCAATAAATAACTATACTTTTTTTTCTAGCATCAAAAATATCACATTAGATGACCATCATATGCTGTTAGCATTTTATAAACACAGAAAATAAATTATTGAAGAGAAGAATGGTTGGGATGATTAGTCAAAATAAAAAAAAAATAGTAAAAATTAATAACTATATTTATTTTTATACTTGCCGAAGTTAAAGCCCGAAGTTCAGACCATGATCAGGGATGTTCAATCCGAAAAGCGTGGAACGACCATTTGTTTTTATAGTTGCCGAAACTTGGGCAAATATAAATATTTATTTTTACTATCTTTTATTTTGACTGATCGCCCCAACCATTCTTCTCTTCAATTAGTCACTATATCAATCCACAATTATGGAAATAAATTATTTGCAATTTCATGTGTTCGTATGAGTGTGTTTTTAATTTGTTTGTTTGTATTTATACGTAGAACCTACCTTGATCAAAGAAAGCCACCAAGAAGAAGGGAACGTGAGGAATGAGCTCCAATGAGATTTGAAATAATTCATAAGGCGACGACAGGTTGATAAAGAGTCGGAAATAACAAGGTTTTTTCCCTTTCTAATCAACAGACTCTGGGAGATAACAAACCCAGGTATTTTTTTATGCCTAGCTCTTAGTCGACTTCAGTATATATATATATATATATATATATTTATATATATATATATATATATATAGAAATTTGGAATACATAAATGAAATAGAAAATAATAAAGATGATATATTCCTATCTTGATTGCGAAAAAAATATATATATATAAAATAAAATAATTCAATTCGTATTAGTTCAGTACCTATTTCACTTCATTTTAAATCAAATTTCTACTATTATTCATCAACCAACACAATTTTCCATGTAGTTTATTTCAATAAAAAAACAATACATGCACAGCTAAATAATTTAACAGGTTAACACCTCTATAAATTTGAATGATAGTGGAGAAATTGTTGAATGTTGAAAGACATTGTTAAAGATAAGTCCTGGTGTAATAAGTGGCGCATCCAAGTAAATGAATATAAATCCAAACACACATCACCCTTCGGCGCAAGTCGTGTCCACCAGTTTTTTTTTTTTTTTTTTTTCAACTCCATACCACTTCCCCTCTCCTACACAGTTCGGTATCTTGGCTTCCTTCTAGATAAAAGACTAACATGGAACCCACATACCAAACTTTAAAAGTTTAACTGACGATATGGCCAACTATATAGACTACTCAATTGAGAACAAACTATTAATCTACAAGACAATCCTGAAACCTATCTAGACCTACGGACTCGAACTGTGGGGGACAGCCAAACTGTCTAGCATCAAACATATTCAATCCTACCAGTCTGAAGTTCTTTGAACAATAGTCGATGCTTTTATGTAACCAATAAATCCTACACAATGACCTTAATATTCCAATTGTACTTGACCTAATCCCAGACAAATTTTCCACATTTCACTAGAATCTCACACATCATCCTAATCCTGTAGCACAGTCTCTATCTAGCTCCTACAATCCTCCTCGGAGGTTAAAACAGCAGTGGCCCCGCGACCTTTTGTAAAAATATTGCAGTACTGGCACTGGCCAGATTCTTCATTCATGTCCTGAGCGTCTGTTGCTCTAGTGCCCTCCATCAGACTACACTGGCTTACTATACCAGTGAGGCGGCTGGGAGAGAAGCACTGGGATCTCCTGGAGTCCTGCTTTGGCTTCCACAATTGGGGGACAAAGCTTGATTCAGATTCCCCTGGGCCAATGTAAATAATGTATATAGGTTGTAAAAGTATATAGGAGTAAAACTCATGAATGTGATTTTATTTATTTTGTTATCATTTGGCTTTAATCAGTTATTTTACTCATCTTGTGTATTACTTTATATTTTTATTTATATATCTCTTTTCTTTCTTTTTTTTCTTTCTCTTCTTACTTGGTTACTTTAATTTATTTTCCATTCTTATGTATATATTGTGTGAATGAATACTATAGCTCTAGTATCAATGCCCACCAGTGTGGCAGACGGAATAAAAGAGAATCGGTATAAATAAAGTCGATAAGAATAAATAAAATAAAGTCGGTTAAGGATTGCAGTAATGCAAGTACCACAACATAAATTAAATTTATTTTACTTGTGCCAGAGCACAGTAGGCTGATTAATCTAGAGGAGCATTATTCAAAATATAAATAGCGAATATTTTTGAGAAAAATTAAATAAAATGTTTGTTTACCGTTGTAGCTGTGGGCGGGGTGGCCGAATGGGCTAAAGCGTTTGCACAGCATCGCCGTTGCCCGGCAACCCGATGTATGATACAAATGATAAAAATTAGTCACGAGTTCACGTCCGTTGCCGGGGGAGGGGGAGGTCTTCTAAATCCCCGCCCACATTCCCTGGCCCGGCAAAACCCCGTATAGCCTAAAGACAAGGAAGGGGAGGACCCCCTCCCCCCCAAAAAAAACACCGTTGCAGTTAGAAAAACGAGAGCACATGCAATTAATACAATACATGCACAGCTAAATAATTCAACAGGTTAACACCCCTATAAATTTGAATGATAATGGAGAAATTGTTGAATGTTGAAAGATATTGTTAAAGAGAAGTCGGTTAAGAATCGCAGTCATGCAAGTACACAAATATAAATTAGGTTTGTGCCAACGCACATTGGGCTGATCATGTAATCTAGCAGAACGAAATATCGTATAGTGAATATTTTCTAGAAAAGTGAAATATAACGTCTGTTTATACATCGTCGCAGTTAGAAAAACGAGAAGTAGCGAAACAAAATCAAGAAATATGAGTTAATTCGATCAACAATTTTTTTAAGTAACTCATGTTTTTTTTGTATAGGGAGCAAAACTTAAAAAAATACTTAATTCAAGTAATATGATGCTTAGGTTGTATTCTCAACTCGTCACTCAGTTTTTGCCAATTTTTTTCCAATCTCTCTGATTGTTCACTGAATACAGTCCAAGTGTACATGTGCGGCGTGCTCCAACTCGAAAACTTATTGCCACCACTTGCCACGTTGCGCAAGATGTGGTGAACAACACAAATCAGTAGAGTGCAGCAAACCGATACAAGATCCTGCAATTTGTGCACAATTTCAAGAGGGGCAACCGGCCAACTCTTGAACTACATACCAGAAGACCCAGATTCAAAAGGAGACAACCGGACCAATTAGAAAGCCTTCTAGAATAGTAAATAATAGTGTATCATTCTCCGAACTACTTGGAGGTAAAAACCCAAATAATAAATTTGAAGCCCTGCCGCAGCAAATACCTTAACCCCAACCTCAATATCCTGTTAATCCTAACATACCTAACCATCAACAACTTCAAATTCTTCATATTCCTCCTCACTCAAAACCCACAGAGTTTGTTGTTGTTATTCCTCATTGAGTTCAAATCAATGGGAAACCCACTCATATCACTCCTTTCAAATCTCGTGTCTCCCCTCATCCCTTCTGTAAACAATCTTTAAATGACTCCGATTAAACACCAATCTATTCTCCTTAGTAATGTGAATTATAGAGACTCGATTGACCAGATCACAGTTTTTTAAAATCCCACAGTACATAACTTACTGTACTGGCTATCGTGAATGTAAAGCACATGCCGGTACTGCTGTCATCGTACACCCTCTCTCATAGGTGTACGATACACCTCGTGTTGCCCAAACCGAGACCGAGATGAGTCTTGGTCTTGCGCAAGAGTCTCACAACGGTCTTGCAGTTACTTATTAGCATATTACTATAGAGATATTACTGTATTTTTTTACATAGGAGAAACCTAACTAAGGCCGAATGAAAAATTAGAGGAGTTAAATGTATAATTTTATTGGTTATACCAATTATTTACATATAGTAACTAAGATTGTCAAGTATTAGTAACTGTTTTGCATTAATTTTTATTTAAAAAATCGATTTTTTTTTTACAATTACTGGTCCTGCAGCAGTTAGGCGGCCTTGTTAGACCGACTTTGGTCAACACTACTCTCTCA